CATGCAAATATTTATCAAGTCAACCAACTATATAGCATCGTAATGGTTTATGTTAAAAAATATTGAAGCTTGTATTGTTAGTATAAACGGTAAAAAAAAATCATATCAACCGGTTTATTCAAAGACAACATTGGATGATTATCTCAGCGTATTGAAACACTGATCACTTGGTCTAAATTCATTGGTCGAAAGTTGAAGTTCCCACCTCAAAGCTTTATACGTTTCACTGACAATCTGTAGTCACATACTAAATGAACAATAATGAACAGCTGCTTACTAGAAATGAAATGCATTTTCAACAGCTGTTAGCTCATTACAAGAGTGACTTAAGAATTCAACTTTTCATATTGAAAAAAAGTGTTTTAATAATTAAGGTTTATGATATTTTTTGAAAAAAAATAAACATAAACAATTATTTCACGATAAAAATGATTCATTTATAGTTTAGCAATCGGTTACATAAAGCAAACACATATTTCACCATTCATTACTATCAAAGATTAAAATCAACCTCGAAAACAAGCAATAAACATACATACACTGCAAGCTACAAAAATACACATTAACTGATCATAAGATTTGATTTTAAATGAAAGGAGGCAAGAAATGGTTGACATTATTAAAAGATACTGATCATCATAATGATAACGATGATGATGATGGTGTACTGTTGACTGAAATTTCAGTTCCATTTCTCAGTTCACCTATAATTTATTGTTCATTGCATAGTTTATTTATAGGAATATATTTCAACGACGAAAAACAAAAAGAATGATACTATGAAAATTGTGAAAAACGAGATCGGGCTTTTGACAAGTGTGCGTGTTGTTTACCCACAAAGAATGCAAAAGAAAATAATTAGAATAAAAAACTGTACAATTTATATTCTTCTTCATGATATGAAGTAGATGTGTATTTTTTTTCTTAATGTTACTCCATTGTTGAACTAAGCGAATTGGTTATACTACTCAGTCGATTAGAAAATAATGCTGTGTTCGTGATTGATCAAAATTTTAGATTGTAATTAAAGATCAAACTATTTATAAACATTATATATATATATATATATATATATATATATATATATATATATAATGTCAAAAATAGGTTTTGTTCGGTAGAAAAAGCAGCTAGAGTTCAGTAAATTGTGAAGATAGAGAGAGAAATAACTTTACTGAATAATTAATACCAACCTTGTGCATGTTTACGATAAAACAGAAAATATATGAATTATTTAAGGATATCATCAATTGACTGGTTTAATTGAGTTTAGAAATTTTATTTATCAAGTTCTCTACAAAGGCATAAAAAAAACGAGACAAAGTATATTTGACATTTATTAAATAAAAGCATCGGATGATCGTGAGTCTATTCACTTTGTACGCTATTCATTCCGTGTGAAAGAAACAATTTACTCTATGAGTTTTAACGAAGACATAATAGTATATATATATATATATATATATATATATATATATATATATATTGTCAATGGCAAAATGAAACTGTCAACATGCAACTACTGCACAGTGAAAAGCCTTTTATTTTAAATGAAGTTTTAATTTTCTTTAATAATCTTTGAAAAAAATCCTTAATCGAAATCATTTATAATTCATCCGATCGATGGACTTATACTTATTTCTATTCCAGTTGACCAACGACTAACAGTGTATAAAGATTGGTTATTCACCTTGTACGTCATATAAAAATAGTAAGCTTCTATGTTCTTATTGCGGAAGAAGCGAAGTAAACTGAATAGGAGTAATGACAACCAGTTTCCGAACAAACAACTACAACAATCTGTGGGTGTAATCTGCATCGACCGATGATGTTTAACTGAGAACCTGGTAGAAATGACGGCTGTATGATGCTCTTTATTAGTAAACCTTCATAACTCTAGCGACCAAACCAAGAGTGTACGGATCTTATAGTGAGCGCTTGACTATTCTATCAATGGACTGCCTTCATTCACTTTATAAAGTAGCTTATAGTAACCTCACTGCTGGTGATCGTTTTACTTAAGAAATATCTAAGCTACAGCGGTCATGATTCCTCACTCACTAAACTATCAGTGATTGATTGCAAAATTACTACTGAACAGACAATTGGATTTTAATGGAATTTTTTTCTAATTTAAAGATGGTTTTTATTGTGGATCTATCTCAGTTAGGGTACTACTGTAAAGTAACGCAATGTTTGTTGGTATTCCAAATGTAATCAGTGTTCGACAAAAATCAAATGCAAACCAAACAAATTTCTAGAAACCTTACAGCAGTCATCTCAATCCTAAAGAACATAAGAGAATTAGCGTTCACGAAAAATTTGGAATAAACCTAGATTCATGCATTGTTTTCTCCGATAGATAGACTTTATGCTATGAAGTTTAACACATTTCTATTAGTATTAATACAGTTAAACAACTTCTTTTCTCGTTCACGAATCGAGAGTTTAGGTTACCTCGGGTGTCATTCTAAGTCTTTCTCAATATATTCACTTAGTAGATTAAAAAATGTCAGTAAACTGAAAATTTCCTTCAAGCGATTCATTGGTATTCGTTTCCAGTTTTTTTAATTAACTTTGAATATACTTTGTAATGCAAACGACTCGGAACAATATAAAAAAGGATAAATAATTTGTTTTCAGTAAAATATCTGGAAATCATAAATTAACACTCATATGATGTATTCACTTATTTGAAAAAAGTTGATGTTGATTTTATCCCTATTCAGTATTTTTGTTAGTCGTCAGTGTTACACAATAAAAATCTATCAAATCTATGTAAATTACTATCAGAAAGATTTTTTTGATATTTTAATGGAAATCGTAGACCTGTGAAGTCCATTTTACTAGGGATTAAATAATTATTAGGACTGGATGAAAGTTATGCCGTCTCCTATTTGGAGTTGAAAATGTGAACAAGTTAATCCCAACTCAGAAATTCAATAATATTCCGGTTACTGCCAAACTTTTGCAATGACAGCTGTTCAATATTTAAAAGGACGAAGATACAATGAACTAGCTCTTCAGCCCTCCTTAGTTTTTAATCATTTCTTTAGATTATGAAATCGACAGTTTGATTGAAATATGACATTCCAGTCTATATATTAACTGTAACTAGTGTTCATTTCTTGTCCAAGGAGCATCGGTATCGGTTGTCATAAAATTGCTTTATTAAGAAGTTCCAGTAAGCATCATCAGTCAGAAAGACAAGTTTCATAAAGTGATGTTCTGATATTCAAAACATGTAACTGGCCTTTTTACCACTACCAGTTCACTAATACCGTCATTCAGTGCATTGAAATCTATCGAACTCTAGCTCACTCATTCATTGCTTTTATCAAACTCTTTGAATAAATTTTAAAAAGTTTCAGGTTTTTTAGTTGGTCAATGTCACTGTAGTGAAGTAAAACAAAGTACCCTTCTCAGCAATGCATTTACCCATTGATAGTGTTAATAACAGAGATACAATAAATAATCTACTTGCATCCATTTCAAGAATTTATTACCTATCAGCTCATTGAAAATGATGAAATAATTGATAATAACGAATGGAATTCGAGACTGAAACTGTGGCATAAATTGAAAGTCCCAAGCAAAAATTTGTCATCAACATTGAATCCGATTTGTAATCCACAGACATCCAATCAATGCTATTACTTACAGGTTTTCCCTTTAACGATTTTGATTATTTTAAGGTCGGTTGAATACTTAGATAGAAAGAAACATTTTATGGTCATATTTAATTTAATTTACTACATTATATATGTGGTTTAGATACAAAGAAATGATTCATAAATACTGATTTTTAGCTCTGATGTACATACTACTGAAATAAGTTATTATTTTAGCAAGGAATATGTAGTCAAAATTACCGATTGACAAATAAAATGGCTGAGCTTGTAACACAAAAATAGAGGTACTTCTACACTCACAGATTATTTAGGCCCTTCGCTTCAAAATTATGGCTTGAAATACAAAGAGCCTAATAAGGACAATGATGTTTTTTGAAAAGCATGATTTCAGCAACATCCTGACTCACTTTTCTTCATTGAAAAGTAAATGTCATTTGTGTAAGTAAACAATCATCCATCTGACTTTTTTATGACACATTTTCTTGTAGTGTAGTCCGCTATATACCAGCTAACAGAAATCCAGGTAACTGATGGCAATTGAGGAAGTTGTTTTTACAGTTGCCATAAAAATGAAAGACTATATTTTTATACGCTTAAACTTCTGTGCACAGGCAGATAATTTTGATAGATATAATGATAAAATCTGTTACTGAATATTGTTAGTTCATAAGGGACTGAACTCATAAACATGACCTATTTAGAGAGCATACCACTGGTTCAAAGTAGATACGCAACTAGCACTAATGATCATGCGTTTGCCCGTTAAGTTATTCGTGGGCACAAAGTGTTAAGGCATTTAAAACATTTAGTACCTTTTATAAATTTTGATAGAACAGTGAAAAGACATAACTGATCTGAAATATATGATGTATGTGCGCTGTACATTTCGAGCAATCTGGACACACATATACCTGTCAAGGCATTTTATATGAAGTTTGATAAAAGGTCAATTAAATAAAAGTTCAAATAGACATAAGGTGATCACTGTAAATGAAGGAGAGAGAAAATTAACGTAATGCAGAAAGAAAAGGAAAGGGTAGGAAGACGAAACAAATTCCTATTGACAGCTGGTGATAAAACTTATTTTTGAATAAGGAAAATGAATCTTTTTATTCAACCTCTGTACATGATTTACGCATGTCTACCATCATAAATTATTTATAACGTGTTTTTATTGAGATTGAAATTTATTACTTTATTCCATTGCATAGACATTATGTCAGAAACGCATAACATTGTCCGAAACAGTAATGTGAGTTCCTGTTAACGCAAACCTTTAAACTAAAAATCAATAACTCTATTTACACCAACTCAATACAAAACAGATACAAAAAAACATCGAAATGTTCGTATGGAACTTTCAATTACCTCAAACTGTCCGACTCTATTCGGTAACCATGTGATACTTGGTATACCAAGTGCAGATGTGATTTGAAAGAATAATCGATGTAGTCTATCATGCATTGGTCTGTCAACAAGTGCACCAATATCATTTACAATGAAGAAACTATTAGCAACATAATGACTCGATTGGTTTTGTTCAAATTCTTTACATATTTGATTTTGCATAACCAAAGGATTATAAGCTGTAATTACTTGTTCTGTATAATGTGGATCTAATAATAGATGAGGATATGGTTTCATGAGATTGCGTAAATGCGCTGCACCGTTTGATTTATAGTCAGGCCGCTGAAATTTCACATCGAATATAATTCCTTGAATTTTAACACGAACAAAATCTAAATCATCCGAAGCAATAGTTGAAGACATTGAAGTTGATGGTAATAATATGGATGATAATGTTGAAGACAAGTGATCGGAAAGAGATAATGAGCGTCTTGAACGACTTGTCGAATGTTTAAAATAAACTGTACTACTATTGGCAGTTTGTTTTCTGAGAAGTCTTAGAACCCCTTCAATGATTTTTTGATTCATAGTAGATGACTGAAAATCAAACTCGTCCGAATTACTATTCATTGTGTACAGTAGTGTAGAATTAAAGGTCCATGAATTGGTGCCTGTACTAATTTGATTTGAAGATAGCATTTTATCAATGTGAGATTTATTGACGCTAAACAGATTGTCATTGTTCTCATACTGACTTGTTTGGAATGTGTTTGAAGTGTTTAATTTCAAATGATAAATCTTTGATTCAGATTGTAAATTAAGCGCACCGGCATTAAAAATTAAATTAAATAAACAGAAGAGTATAAGAAGTGTTCGTCGTTTCATGTTTGAAACATGATTTTAATTAATGTTCCCGTAAGATAACATGTCCGCAATGTCTGTTTTGAGTTTAGAAAAGAAAATAGGAAAACATTTAGTGCTAAATATATACACAAAATTTCAAACCAAAATATAATACTCATAATATTTAACTCAGAGGGAAGAAACTTTAAAAATCTATCGATGACACTAAGGAATAATAACTGATCTAAAAGAATGCGGTTTTTAGTGAGAGTTCATTTGTACTACAGTTTTGAATGTGCACACACAACAAACTGGCTGAAATTATAGATCCATTTTTCTTTGACAAATAATATGCATCTCATGAAGAATCATAGAGTTTCAGGTTTGCACATACAACTTACTTGCAAACAACAAATCGTACATAACATAAGTTTGTGACAGAACATCCTGAAAGAACTAGCGTCGGATGTAATTAAAGAATATTGCATTATTTCATCACTTTACCTTAAATTAAACTGGTCATGAACCTGAACTCAGAAACTTGCTAATCTCAACCGCTGAAAATATCAATTATCGTACCCAAAGGTAAATATTTTCCGTTTTGACGTTGAAAATTCATTTACAATTATTTTGTAACGATCCGATTTAATTATGGATATATACATTGAAATTTCTGCTTTTTTATACTTATTGATAAAGTCTGTTGGTACAAATATTTGTAAACAGATAAATAATTCAGCGCATTTGAAATCCCCTTTCTTGATAAACCTTTCGAACAATGGAGAATACGTTCTTTTTTATATCGTTTAGTAGACTTTTTGTTAGAAATATCCATCTAAAATATGCCTACATGAGAGAATAATTGAGCATCCTACATCTTCAAACATTACTCAGTGTGTGGTAATATTGCAATGCATTAGGCATATAAATGAAAGTAGTCATGATTAAATTTCTTGGCGTTGTTAATTGAAGATAATGGATTGCATGTCGTTTATGTCCTAATCACTAACGAAGCGCACCATTTATCTAATTCAAAATAATAAATTCCAACTAACAAGTTAAAATCATATAAACATAATAAGAAAAAGGAAAATGTTGGACTATGGTTATTCTGATAGTAATAATATTAATGTATTCTAATAAATTATCAGATGAACTGGCTGGGACTGTACAGTTTAATAATTTTAGTTTTAGAATAAATCACCTTTGCATTTGTTTTCGATTTTAAAGAATATTTAGACTAGCTTAAAGAGCTATGTGATGTATTGTTTTAAAAATGTCACAGAATTACTGATTGTTTTTTTGTTAAGTTGCCATTCTTCAAATGTTTATTGCTCATGGAATTTTGTGCTTTCTAAATATGTGAACATCAGAGCACACCATTCACTTATAGTTACCTTAGAATTATACTTGTATGAAGTTGAAAAATTAGGTTGACAACATTCTAAATGTTCTGGCTTTCTGTTTACCTTGAAATGTATTGAACATATGGAAATAAGAGTGAACCATTTTGACAGTTCGGTGTTGCGAAGATTACTTGATATTTTTTAATAGAAGGTTAATGTAAAACCCTTTCTTGGAATAGATCCTTAAATATTGTACAGGTAAATTCAATGTAAAGTTCGTCATTTGAAGAAAAACTCATAATCACAAACTTATTTTGATGAAAGTTAAATTTGTAAGAGGTTGCGAAGTTGAATGAACTGTGGAGCTTAACCAACAATTAAATAAAACCAAGGAAAACATTAAAGAGTTATTTTTTTAAAGGTGACTGTGGAAAGCTGGTCCCCAGTTAGTTAATCCAGATGTTATCTGCTCGCCATAAACCATTGAGGTTCTGTGCCATAAATACAGTCTATTTAGATTTTCTGTGCCCTAGTTTTCATTAGTTGTCTAGATGAAGAAAACCATCATTAGGTTTTAGTTGTGTGATTTATCTAAATATTTTAAACACATTTTTTGTTAAAACAGTATGTTTTTAAAAGAACAAAAACCATGAAACAAACTACACACAGACTGGTAGATGTGTCATTATTCTCAAAAAGTCTTTTCAGAATATTTCGGCACTGCAGAGTAGTCTGTGTAAGTGGAAACAAAACTTGTTTACTAAACACCAATAGCACAACATTATGAACTAAACAAACTTGTTAGAGAGATATTTTTGACTTGATTTAAGGTATAACTGACAATGCTTGTTTCTGCTATCTGGAATATCATTAGCTCTCCGAATAGACACACTGATGGATTTTAATTGTATTGCTAGACAACAATCTCATTCACTTATTTTTTTAGACTCTCAGCAAATTAATTACTTATCGTTTCGGTCTTGGGACATGAGCATACTTGTCAGAATATATGAGTATTACTGACTGAAAAGTTTTAATGTAATAGGTATGTGTTAATTCAGTTCGACAAATTTACTTGTCAGGGAAAAAGATTTTTTAGAGATCTGTATCATTGATAACAAGTGAAGAAAAAAATTGGGAACCACTGATAAGATAATTTATTTCGGTTTGAAACAAAACTGTCTACAACAGAGAAAATGATGCCTATTTGGGTTATTTTTGTGAATGGTTCTAATGACTTGAAGGTTATGATCACTACATTTTATTCGTTTGTCTACACAACTGTACACAAATTAACAGATCCATCACTAATGACTGCTTCTCCAAATTTATATTTATTTGGATATGACTAGGCTTCAAGGTTATGAACAAATTTCGTTAGTACAAACTAGCCTAATATATTTACTGCCATTTTTACTGCCAAGTAATACTGTTCGAATGTGATGTTGACGAGAAGTCACTAAAACAAGTCATTTTGGCCCAAGTATGTTCCAGTTATTTCTATCTCATATTTTAAAATATAACACTTTACAATTTTAGACAAGTCGCTCAGAAATAGTCCTTTAAACAAACCAATTTTGCTTCAGATTGTTACTGATACAACATTAAATCAGGTTGATGACTCATGTAATGAGTATGAGTAGTAGTGGTTAACTGTTCATAAGTCACCTCCATACTGTGTGTAAAGCTTGTTTTTTTTTCATCGGAACGTCTTGTAGTGTGCGAAGCATACAGGGCTTGTTCTAGATTTTGGACAAAGTAAACAACCTTTTCTGACTGAGTTATTATTCACAAGTATTTTGAGCTTGTAAATTACCCATCTAAAAACTTGGTTGTTCTCAGTAGAGGGCCTAATTGCACTGTTTGCTTTGCGTATCACGAGTCGGGCTTAATTTTGTTTGACTGTAAATACTCAAGCATGCCTCATCACATTGAGTTGGGTTACTCGGCTTTTCCGCATCGCTTTGAAGCGCGGATATTATGGCATAAATCCATCCACACAAAACCTTATTAGGCTTTTAATTACTGTCGTCGTAAAAGCAGAGTTAGCCGAAATGTAATATACGGACATCAAAGGGGATATTTATTTCATAGTATATTTGATTGGAATCAGATCCCGGGCCACTAAATTCTCCAGTTAATTTGAATTAATTTACAACTTTACTAGTAAGAAGAGTCTGCAAGCATTCTTCACTTTTTCAGACAATTTTTTTCTAACAGTACCGGTTGTTTTTTTAATTAGGCGCAAATATTTGAAAATAAACATCAAAGAAATTAGATTAAAAACAATGGCAGCAAAATAATTACCTTATAAAATATAGAATAGATTCACGTCACAGTGTAAGTTTTACACTCTCAAATATTCTCGTTATGTGATAGCATACTACATTGCTTTTATGTATGTCTACTAAGAGACATTTTCCGAATTACAAAGGCATTTCATGTTTTAGGGAGTAGGTAACGACGACAAATTTGACAAATGTAGAACTCACGAAATTAATTTTTATATGCCGACACTTGTGAATAGTATTTTTCTGTCTTAATTTAAAATGCTTTTTCAGATAGTTAGTTGTTTTCATGCCACTGAATCAAAAATTTCTCGAAATAAACAATGTTTCTAGGAAAACGAAACACTTGTTCACAACCATTAACAGGAAGATGAAAATAATTTCTATTTTTATTTTTGAATTCATAATGGGTTGTTTGCTGATTTGCATAAGTGAATTGTTTAGAAGATTGATAACTATTGACGATACCTCCTAGATTTAACATTTTTATTTGTTGATAATCACTATTGTGATACATCTCATATAACTTATACCTAAAGTGAGATTTCGCACAGAGTCATCAGAAGTTACACTCAGAAATGGCAACAATAAACCACTTGCTCCTATTCTCCAACGGACTTCAACTTGAGAGAGGTGCTTCTATATTAAGTGGTAACTGAGTAATAATCATAATCGTATTCCCTATTCCTTGTTGTTAATTGTATCTAATTGGTAAATGACATACAAGATGAATACTAATGTTCAGGCCTAAATAACGAATCAACACATTCATAAGTGGGTGACAGGTTAGAATGGATGCCGGTTCCTATGAATATAGTGACTTAAGTAAAATTTTATCTTTTCTGAATCTACAGCTGAATAAATTTATTGACTATGTAGGTTGTCATTTACTGATCCTTTCTAAATATTATTACTTATGGGCACTGAAGCCATCGTTTTATATTGAATGTACATGCATCCTGATAGACATAGTCTTTACTTTTGAGACTTTGAATCCGATGTAATAAATAGTTTGAACTGCTATATCAGTTAATCAATTTCAAAATTCACTGATAACATTAGAGTTTTAATCAGGAATTTCTAGTGAGCATTGTATTTTATAAGCAGTTAACTGCATACAATTTATTAGTTTGAAAACTGGAGCCATTGGAAATACGTATTCACTTGAAACTCAGTGATGTTATCTACACATAAAAACTGATCCCATTATTAATCATTATTTTCTTATACCATCAAACATAAGGTTAGCATTACAATTATTCAAACTCTCCAGCGAAACTTTAGAAACCAACAATCCCTCATTTTCAGACCACCATTAGAAACCTGGAAACACTGGACGGCCGTTTTGTCCTGGTATGGGACACATCAGCAGTGCACATCCACGGTTCCTGCACCTCGCAGGATTCGA